GAAAGCCCGCCCCTCCGCGCGCCCACGGTCCCGGAAGTTGACGGGGTAGCAGCCGCGGACCCGATTGGCTGGCGGCGGTCGCGCACCCAGCCCGGGTTTTCCAGAGTTGGGCTGAGCTGCGGGGCGCTGAGTTATGGCCGCGCGGAGTCAGCGGTTGCGCGAACTACGGGGGCCTCTGCTCCCGTCCAAGGCCCTGGTGGAGGAGGGCGATGACTGCCTGCTGGAGGACTGCGAGGACGACGACGAGCCGGCGTTCGTGGACGCGGAGGAGCTCTGCAGCGGGGGCCTCCAGGCCGGCGGCCTCCCCGGGTGCCTCCGCGGTGAGGGCGCCCCCACCCTTGGGGGCGGGGCAGACGGTGCAGGTGCTGCTTTCTAGGGTGGCCCGGTCGTGGGTAGGGCGCCCCGTCGCTGTTACCTGACTTTTTTGGGACGGTCTAGCTGCAGGGACTCGGGCAACTATTGTGTGTGAAGCTTGTGATCTACATGCATTATCTCATGTTTTTGATTTTTAAAAATATGGTTTTATTGATTTCAGGGAGAGAGAGAGATGGAAACATCAGTGATGAGTCATTGATCAGCTGCCTCCTGCACGCCCGCTGCTGGGGATGAGCCTGCAACCCGGGCGCGGCCCGACCGGGAATCACCCGCCATCTCCTGGGTCCTGGGGTTGGCGCGCAACCACTGAGCCACACCGGCCGGCCTGCCCGCGACTCTTTCAAGTGGTTTGTAGTGGAGAATGTTTATGCCAGTGGATGTCGAGCCTGCATTCACACCCAGAGTCGGGGCTTTAAACTATTTCCGTATCCAGCCTGGAGTCGAACATGTGGTTATTTTTCAGCTGCTTAGAAAACAACACCCCCCCCACCCCCAGGAAACACCTTCAAGGCAGCATTGGTTCATTAACTTTGTGTTAATAATATTGATATCCGTGTTTACCTTGGGTAGTTTTTCTGAGCTATAAATTACACTCGTGACTGCTATTGACGGAATATTGTAGCGTTCAGACCAGTGCTGCCTGCGGAATTTTCTGTGATGATGGCATTTTTTATACTTGCACTGCCCAGTACGGTAGCCACTAGCCACATGTGGCTACTGAGAACTTGAAATGCAGCTGGTATAGCTGAGGACCTAAATTTTAAATTTTGTTTAAGTTGATTTAAATTTAAATAGCCACATGTGAGTGGACAGCACAGGTTTAGATGGACAATTTTCAAGTATTTGTGGAGGGTGTAGTCATTTATCCTAAAAGTGTTAGTGACTGGCTACCCTGTTCCAAGTTAGGTGTTTGTTGCTGGGATAGGTACCCTAAAGAGAGATGATGATGAGGTCGCTCTCCTAATGGAGCTTACCTGTTAGTGAACTAAACAGACATTCTTTAAATGATCACAGGAGTAACTATAATATTACTCAGTGCTTAGAAGAAATAGTAGTGCTAGAGAGATTATATTCATGAGATTCAGGGAAAGTTTTCCTGAGGAAGGTAGTTAAGCTGAGGGCTGTAGTAAATGGGATAAACAGTAAGAAAGAAAACATTTAAGACAGAGGGGACAGCGTATTGCAAAGGTTCGGTAGTGGGAGGGACCATGACATTTTTTTAGAAACTGCGTGAAGGTCAGTATTGGCTGAAATCAGAGTAGCAGAGAGAGGACTGCTTTTAGGACAGGGGTGGGGAACATCCTGCCCCTCCGCCCTCGAAATCATTTGGTCTGGCCCTGCCAAGGTAACTGCAGGCAGGACTCAAAATTTAGTAAGTCCAGGAACTTTTTTCATAGCTAATTTTTAAGCTGATAATTTTGTATGGCCTATGAATGATGGTATAAATATCCAAACGGCCCTTGGCAGAAAAAAGGTTCCCCACTCCTGTTTTAGAAGAACAGCAGACTTTTGCCATACACTATGCTTAACTCTTGGAGTACAAAGACTGATGAAACATTGTCCTAGGCTAGAGGGCTTACAGTGTAGGAGAGGAAGACTGATAAACAGGTAAGTGGGATATAGACACCCTAGTAGATGTCTGTACAGTGTGCTGTGTGTGTGTGTATGGGTGGGGGAAAGTTAAAGAGAATGGTGGATTTGATAAAAACAAAAAACCATTGGAAGAGATTTATACATTTTTAAATATAATAAATTAACTTTTTTTTTTTAAGTTGTAATTCCTGATGAAGACACTGGAGAGAAGTGTGAAGTGTCTGGGCGTTTCCCATTAACCGGTCCTTGGTGGCGAGTGAGGGTACAAGTAAAGCCTACAGGATCAAGGAACTATCAAGTTCAAGGATTTCCATCGTACTTTTTACAGTCTGATATGTCATCACCAGATCAAGAAAATATCTGTTCCCTTTTTCTTAAAGACTGTAATGTCTCCAGTGATAAGATAATTGAATTTTTAGCATGGGTAAAGAGAACATCAAGCATTAAAGACCTCAGCTTTGAAAATCTTAGGGAAACATTGAGAACTTTCTATAAGGAAGATAGAAATGGTCAAAAACAATCTACACAGAATGAACAGGAAAAGTCTCAACCAGAGTACAAGATGTGCCTTCCTCTGGAAAACACAAGTAGGTGTGATTTTTTATCGTCGAGTTTTACTGTAATTGTGATTCTGACTTATGTGTTTTAAAATATTGTCACTCTGGTATTGTGGCATAGTATTTTTTAAAAATTAATTCTCACCTAAGGATATGTTTAGAGAGGAAGGGGGAGAGAGAGAGAGAGAGAGATCGATGAGTTGCCTCCCAGGGGAATCAAACATGCAACTTAGATATGTGCCCTGCCCTGGAATCAAATCCTCAACCTTTTGGTGTTTGGGACGATGCTTCAGCCAACTGAGCCACTGGGCGAGGGCCATAGTATTCTTTTTTTAAATTGGTTTGATGAAAATGTGTTTATATTCCTTTTGGAATACGTCATTGACTCCAGGTTCCTCATCTTTAATGTGAAGAGATCGGGTGAGATGATCTTTAAGTTCCTTTTGGTTCCTTTACAGCTCCAAACCTGTCATTCTTTCTTTCTAACTTTTTTTTTTAATCCTCACCTGAGGATATTTTTCCCATTGCTTTGCAGAGAGAGTGGAAGGTGGAGAGAGGGAGAGGGAGAGGAACATCAATGTGAGAGAGAGACATTGATTGGTTGCCTCCCAAACGTGCCCCGACCAGGGCTGGGGAATCGAGCCGGCAACTGAGGTACATTCCCTTGGCTGAAATCGAACCTGGGACCCTTCAGTCCACAGGCTGACGCTCTAACCACTGAGCAGTACTGTCTAGGGCACTCTCTCTAATTTTTGTGTCCATAGGATTACCTTGAGTCATTAAGAAAAAGTTCAGTTGTCAGTTCTATTTAAGAAGGCAGAAGAGAAAGCAAAGAATATGAGTAGTCCATTTTGCAAAAATTTCAGTCCAAAATGATTTAAAGTAGTTTTAAAAGATGGTTTGTTATTTGGACATTCACATATATGGACTATTTCAATTATTAGTTATTTTAAATAAATTTGACAGAATGTCATTAAATGACTTCAATGACAAAAGGATCATGATTACAGTCAAAATGATTATAAAGATTAATATGTATATTATTTTTTATGGTTAGCTCTGAATTTATCTTCATATCATTGAGTCAAGAATTTTATTCTGATTATTTGCAAGCAAAATGAAACAAAAGGCTAAGTAGTAGTTACCTAAGCATTTAAAGAACATAAGTTCTGGTGTTAAATACAGTGAAAACCATCTCAGTACAAAAGAAATGGTTATAATATAAATTTTCTTGCTGGGTAAAGTAAATTTATAAAGCTCTGGATTTCTTGAGCTGGTTGTACTAAATGAGAAAATCCATCATGCCGGTTGTTTTATGAACTCATTGTATGTTTTGATTTGTTGTTTTTTGATACCCTGTAGTTCCATTTATCAGTGTAATGGCAGCGTTGAAGTTTCCAAAAATTATGGAATTCCTTCCAGTTCTTCTGCCTCGACACTTTAAACAGCTCATAAGCTCAGGTTCTAAACAGGTGTTGGAAAAGATAGAAGAGATTTTAGGTACACATCCATGGAAACTTGGATTTAGAAAAGTAAGTAAAACATTTGCTTAGCATTTAATAATCTTATATAAAGCAAGATTTCTTAAACTTGACAATTTCTGTATCTCTTTCAAAGGGGAAAAATTTGTATCGATCTCAATGTTGATGTATTTTTGAGTGTTACAAACTAAACTATTTTAATTCTCACCCAAGGATATGTTTTTATTTTAATTTTTATTGATTTTAGAGAGAGAGGAAAGGGGGGAAAGAGAGAGAGAGAGAAGGAGAGAAACATTGATGTGAGAGAGAAACTTTGATTGGTTGCTTCCCATACACTCCTGGACCTGGGATGGAACCTGCAACCTGGGAATGTGCCCTGATCAGGAATCGAACCCGCAACCTTTTGGTGTATGGAATGCCGCTTGAACCAATTGAGCCCTCCAGCTAGCTAGGGTCTAAATATAAACTTCTTAGGCCTCTAGTTCTTATGCAATAAAGGAAAACAATAACAAAATAAATGCGTTATATTATTAATAATTTAGTTATGCAATTTAGTATGGCAACTTTTTTTGGTAACCTAATTGCTAATTGCTATTTGCTACTGGAATATGGATCTCATTGAAGACACGAGTTCTTATGAGTTTGACAAATCTATTCACAGTGTTATGTGACTTTTAAAATTAGGTGTATTGCTATGAGAAAAATATAATTTTAACTTAAAAATTATATAAAACTCTAATCACAGGACAATCAGTTAAAAAATTAGTGATATATTAGGTACATAATTTTTTCTTCCAAATTTAGTTGAAATACATGTCTTCTGGGACTTAAAAATTATTAACAAATAACATTTTTACTGTACTTTTAGTAATACACATCAACATTTTCAATTTTTATGAAGCATCTTGAACTTTATTTTCTTAAGGTCACCTGCAGAGAACTGAAGCTTTTGGGATGTGAGGCAAGTTGGGCAGCATTTTGTCAGTGCTCGTCTCTCCTGCCCTTGATGACTGACCTAGAGAAGAATGGATTAATACTATATTCTAAGCTGAAGCAGCTGTGTAGAGAGTATGGACACACATATGTGGAAGAAACTGAGTTAACTTCTCAGTTGTCAGGTCAGATATTTTGTCATGATGTTTGGCAGTCTCTGAAGTTTTTGAAGGACATCGGTGTAGTGACATATAAGAAGAACTGTGTCTTTCTTTATGACCTTTACCAGGCTGAGAGAGACATCGCCTCTTTAATAGGTGCCCTGATGACAAGGCCTCCCTGGCGTTTACATGTTGATATCAAAAAGGTGCTTGCATCTGTTCATACCAGAAAACCTGAGAATTCAGGAAGTGGTGATGTACTGAGCGAAAGTAGAACCGGTGAAATGTTAGAAGCTTCTGAGGCCATCCCAAACACACAGGACAGTGGGGACCATCCTTGGGATGATGGAGAAGATAATGCAGAAATAAGTGACGATCAACTAGACCAGGATCAAGTGGCCGCCTTGGAGATGGTCTGCTCCAATGCTGTGACAGTCATAAGTGGGAAAGGTGGTTGTGGGAAGACCACAATTGTTAGCCATCTCTTTAAGCATATAGAGCTGTTGGAAGAAAGTGAAGTAAAAAAAGCTTGTGAAGACTTCGAACAAGACCAGAGTGTACCGGAAGAGTGGACTACCTTTACCGAGCAAACAAGTCAGCTGAAGGCAGACAAGGCTGTGGAAGTTTTACTTACGGCACCTACAGGGAAAGCAGCTGGTTTACTGAGACACAAGACTGGTTTTCACGCTTATACACTGTATCAGGTAAAACCTTTTACATTTTTCCTCAAGAGAAAACATTCGCCTTAAAGGCAAACTTTATTTCTCGTTTCTTCCTGATGACATTCAGTAGGTAATTACTGAATGTCCTCCGGGTTCCTGCCTCGTAGTAGCTAATCCTTATTGATCAGTGTCACTCAAAACAACCAGTCTGTAAACTGTTACTGGTTGGCAGTGAGATATTAGCTGGTGCCAGAAAGTAAAGCAGGGCACTGCTTCTTTCCTTGAGAAAGTCTTGTGAATGAAAAGTCAGCTAAAGTGCATGCTCAGTGATGTCGTTAGTTTAGATGCTGGCACAAGCTCCTTTTCTCATCGGGACTGGTTACATGCATGTTCCTAGACCGGATTTTGAAAAGTACTGGAGTTGGAAGGAAAAGGTGTATATTTTGTAGAGTTAAAGCTCTGTGAAGGTGAAGACTTCAACCCTCTGATTTAGTTCTTTATCTCCTTCACCTACAACGGAGCCTGGTGAACAGTAGTCACATAATAATCATTTCAAATGAATTAATACACTTGAAAAAATAGTTTTGGCTGTAGGTAAGAGTCGTGAAATGTTAAACTTATAAAGAGTAGTAGAGGTTCCTCTAGCCTTAACCTCCGTTCTGTAGACCAAGGAACTTAATCATTGGATGATCTCTGAAGGAAATATTTGGAAGATAGGCCTTTCCAAAGGCATTGAGAATGATCATAGTGTGTATAGAAGGTTTCGAAGTGACTGCATTGGTTGGAATGAAGTCTGTGAATTGGAAAATAATGGACAGTAAACTTGGTTTAGACAGGGAATTTGAACTTTAAATGTTTGTAGAGTATCTTGACATCTCACTGAATCCTTGATAAACCAGTGAGGTGGGTAAATGCTAACTCCGTTTAATGAAAGTGCCAGTTGAAATTTGGGGGTGTTACCCGATTTACCCAAGATCTTAACCAGGTGTAGAACTAGCACTTGAATTCAGATTTCTGACCTCCCAGCTTGTTGCTCTTTCCACGGGGCCATGGTTTCCTCATTTATTATAGACCTTAAAACCCAACAGAAGCTTGTCTGGATTTACTGGGGAGCCATTCAGGCTTGTAAGCAAGGTAATGAAGAAAGCAGTTTTAAGGAAGCTTATATAGAATTATAGAGCCACAAGCCATCTCAGAAATTACTTTGCCCATGACCTTTATTTGTCACATGAGTGAACATAGACCTATGGAGATTCAGTGTAGACCATTGGTGGAAGGGTCTCCTGATCAGTTTATGATTTTTTTCCATTACACCTTCATGTTTGACTAGTCTGAAGGATTGAATTAGGACAGGAGATACCAGAGAGGGATCATTACTAAATTTCATCTTATGTTCCAGCTCTAATTAGCTAGTAGCATATTAATATGTGCTTGGGATACTGGGAGAATATTTCTGAAGTCACTTTTAGGATCGGGAGAGAGTGTAAGGGCACAGGAAGAGCACTGAGGTGGCACTTATTTATCCTTGGGCTAGGGTTACCAGACTTAGCACATAAAAGTACAAGTAATTTTTAAGTATAAATATGTACCAAATATTACATTGAACATACTTATACTAAAAGTCACTTGTTTTTTATCTAAAATTCAAATTTTAGAATTTGAATGGGTGTCCTGTGTTTTATCTGGCAATCCCATCTTGTGTTACGGTGTAGGGGAACCTCGCTTTAAGGTTATTGGAGTAACCTAGTTGCTCATAGATGCAGCCTGTATTGAGTTGCTGGCACTAGAAATATAGCGGGAAGTGTCAGTCAGGCATTTCTAACTGTTAGAACACATAAAATAAAAGAAAGGAAACAATTAGCAGTGATTCAAATGTTCTATTGGGAGTCAAGGCCACTGAGAGGATGTGTGGTTTTTTCGTTGTTGTTTTTTAAGAAAATTAATGCATTTGGGTGGGAAATATGAATGCTTTAACTTAACAGATATGTTGAAGCTAGTTGCAGTAGAAAAATTAAATAAATAGGAAGTTACAAAATAGTCACAAGGATGTAAAGTACAGCATAGGGAACATAGTCAATAATATTGTAGTAACTGTGTATAGGTGCCAGGTGGGTACTTGAAATATTGGGGGAACACTTTGTAAAGTACATGATTGTCTAACCACTATGCTGTACACCTGAAACTAATACATAATAATAGTGAATGTAAACTGTAATTGAAAATAAAATTTAAAATTATCTGTTATATAAAAATACCCTGTATATACAATATATGCATACTTACAATATAGAAACATTTCTAGAATGATAGAGACCAGACTATTTAACATTATCTGGCTGCAGTTTTACAAATTTTTACTCATCTATATTTTTTAAATAGTAAATATTATTATCTCTGTAATAAGTAATTTTTAGTTGTTTTGTTGTTGGGTTTTTTTTTAAGTGAATTGCAATTAAAAAAAAAAAAAAATCCTCATTGATCCCAGAGAGAGGAAGGGAGAGGGAGAGAGAGAGAAACATCAATGATGAGAGTCACTGCCTGCCTCCTGCACGCCACGTACTGGGGATCGAGCCTGAAACCTGGGCACGTGCCCTGATGGGGAATCGAACCACGATCTCCTGGATCCTAGGTCGATGCTCAACTGCTCAGCCACTCCGGGCTGGACCGTGGTGGTTTTCTTAAATATTGAGGAAGTTACGGAATTTAGAATACTAGAAGAAAAAGTACTAGGCTGGGAAGGCAGCACTTTATTTCCAGGATGGAGTATTGTAGCTGGGAGGAGAGGAGTACTGGAGTGGCTGCGCTAGCCCAGGAGGCCAGGAGAAGGCGTATGTGGGAATGGAAAAGAACGGGTGCTTTCTCTGCGCAGAGTAATAAGTAATAAGGGAAGGGTTCAAGTGTTTGCAGTGGAATAGTGATGTATGCAAAGCCTGTTAAACACACTAGTCATTAGGAAGCACTTTTAAAAATTATGTGATTTTTTTTTTTTTTTAGATTTATTTGATCTGTCTCTTCTGTGTATTCATCTCTAACATTTGTGTTCTCTATTTTGTTAGCTTTTTTCCCTATGCTACTCTACCTACACGCCTCCTCCCAATTTAAGAGTTTTGCTTTAAAATAACATGCTGTAAAATACATTTTTTTTTCTTTTGGTAAATTTTATAACCTGAAGTTAGAAATGCGATGCTTTACTTGTAGGTCAATTACAGCTTCTATTCATGGAAGAAAACAGCGAACGAGGACAGTCCATGGAAGTTTTCTTCAGTTAGAGTTCTGGTTGTGGACGAAGGGAGTTTGGTATCCGTAAGAATCTTCAAATCCGTTTTAAATTTATTGCTCGAGCACTCCAAGCTTTCTAAACTTATTATCCTTGGTAAGTTAAAATACTGTTGGAATCCTAATTGTTTAGTTGAAAGCGTTGTGGTTAAGTGGCTGTGTATACAACTTCACTGACTTAACACTCATCATATTCTACAGGTGGGAAGCCCTTGTCAGAGCCCATCCTAACGCCACACTGAGTTCAGTTTCACCACTGTCTTGAGCAGTTTGGGAGGGTCTTTGTTCTGGCCAGAATGTTAAGGGCTAGGATGGGAGGGGAATAGACTCGTGAGAGGTTACTGCTGCTCACCTCAGTGGTGACTATTAAAATGGTAAAAACGTCACAGACTCAGTAAATCAGGATATAGATTTATTTGGAGATAATAAAATGTCTTGATCTCTTAAAAGTAATTTTTTTATTTTAAGCTAATAACTCAGATTAGACCTCACCAGCCTCTTCCAATTCTGGTGAGAGTCAGAGTCTGTTGGGTATACTGTTCTGTAGACTGTGTGATTTAATGGAGGAAAAAATAGAATTGCAGTGTGAGAACCAAATTGTATGTAAGTAATTTTTTTAGGTATTTGAGGATATTTCACAAATAGCTGATTCTATTAAAGGCTTATGGATTCTCCCGTTTTTCACCCAGAAAATAGTGTTTCTTATCTCTGGTTGATTGGTTTGTTTAAAGTAAAAGGATTTTTAATAGAGCAAACCATTATCATTACATTACTAGAATCTGTTATCAAATGCATTGGGTTTGTTTATTTTGTGTTTTATCTGTTTATTTGAGGCCATAGATTCTTCTATGGTTTTAAAATTTTTTAAAATTTATTGGGGTGACGTTGGTTAGTATGATCCAGATAGGTTTCAGGTATGGGTTTCTATTTTACCAGGTCTGTATATTGCACTGTGTGCCCGCCACCCAAAAGATTGTTCCGTGTTTAGTAAGACATTGAGCAAGATTGAATAAATACTACCTGTCTGAGGCCTGTTTTTCTCTTTGTTGGCCAAAGTATATGGCTTACACAGTTTGCCTGTGGTTATAGGTATGAAAGAAATTCGACTCAAATTTTACCTTATTGTGTTATTGCTATTTTTTATACCTTATATTGTTCAATCTGAATGCTATTTTTTGTGAAATATTTTTAAAGATTTAATGTTCTCAAGTCATTTTAAAAAAAGATTTTTTGGGGGAGCCTTTTTTTTTCCTCAATTAGATTAGTAAGTCTTTATAATTATAGCATATAATTATAGGAGAAATAAAAATAATTCCTAAATTTCAGGACCCCAGTTACCTAAAACCTACTGTATCTGTTTTCCCCCTTTTAGGTGATGTTAGACAGTTACCCAGCATTGAGCCTGGTAACTTGCTGCAAGATCTTTTTGAAACTCTTAAGTCAAGAAATTGTGCTATTGAACTAAAGACAAACCACAGAGCAGAATCTCAGCTAATTGTGGACAATGCTACAAGGTATAATAAAACTAAAATTTTGCATTTTCTCTCTGTTGCATTAGAAATAAATACAAGAATAAAAAAAGGTTAATAAATACGTATTAGCTTTTTAATTAGGGTGATTCAGTGCAGTACAATTATTATGTCCTTTTAGCAAACCTATCCTTCAAATTATATATTTATATATGTGTATGTATATATCTGGCCCAGTAATGAAATTTAAGAATGAATGTGTTTTCCTGTTTAAAATCTGGATATATGAATTAAGGTTACATGAGGCTTAGTAACTAGAATAAGCCCAAGGGGAACAGACTTGAAAACGAGTTCAGTAGAGTTCAAGGGAGAATTGGGGGAAAGATTCCCCATAGTTTTTGTAAGGAGCCCAAAGCAAAATAAATGAATATGACATGTTACTCCTAGATGAATTTTGGTGGCATGTTCCTGTCCTTAAAGTAGAAAGTAACCCATATTTTCCCTCAGTCTTTGCACAAGTTTTTAGCATGATCTTCTGTAGATTTGCTAAGAGACTGTTTTATTCATTGGACAAAATTTATCTTTGTTTTGACCGTCTTTTACAGAGTGTTGTTTTTGTTGCTTGTACATTTCCTTGGTTACATACTGGCAGAAATGAGAACATTAAAACCTACTTTCTCCATGCCCCTGTCTACCTTTGATAGGACAGTGGGAAGAGAGGAAGAATTGATAGGAGTAGAGTAAATGATGTAGTTTGCATTAAAACATTAAGAAAAATAATGCAGTTGGATGTGTAATACTCTTTTCCTAGAATACTTCTGGTCATTTTGGGGATGTTGGTAGATGATTGGTCATTTTAGAACCTTAGGAGAATCTCAAGCACATTAGATTTCTTAGAACTCAGTTTTATCTGAAATTTAGGAATGCCCTTTAATAACCCTTTTTAAACAATTTTTTATTTTTTTATTGTTTAGAGGAAGGGAGAGAGAGAGAGAGAGAGAGAGAAACATCGGTGATGAAAGAGTCACTGATTGGCTGCCTCCTGTATGCCCCCTACTGGGGATTGAGCCCTGTATATGCCCCTGACTGGGGCTGGGGATTGATCCTGCAACCCAGGTACTTGCCCTCGACCAGAAATCGAACCCGAGACCCTTCGGTCCATGGGCTGACACTCTAACCACTGAGCCAAACTGACCAGGGCAAACTTTTGATATCATTTGGGCTGAGCTCTGCTCCTTTCATCATTTCTTCTTAATCATCGCCACCAAATATTTAATGACAGAAAGATCCCAGTGATACCAGGGAAAATCTCCTTGAAGTAGAAATATGTTACATGTCCTAGGTCAGGAGCAAAATAGGAAATTCATGGTGATTCTCAATCCCCCAGAAATTAAATCTGGGATATTTCCAGCAGGAACAGCCTTCTTGCCTCTCCTTCCCTCCCTTTCAACTCTGTTGGGAAGGGTTGAAGATGACACAGTAGGTACCACTGCCTTTGACAGCCAGGCTGGTGCTAGGTCTTCAGGGAGTCGGTCATCTTCCAAAGAACCAAGGAGAGACTTTATGTCAAGGCATCTTCCCCATCCCATTTTCTGATATAATTTGCTCGTCTTGGGAAATACAAGTACTAGAGAGCGATAAGGAGGGAATAGAAGCAAAGAGAAGACGTGGATACTTGGTTCCCCTGGGGTAATGAGGCCATCTATATGTAATATGCACAGAAGGGGGAAAGAAAGAGGCAAGGGTAAGGCTCGGAGAGTCAGCTGATTTAAATAGAAAAGGAGGTGGAGCCAACTAGGCCCACATAGGCTGCCTGCCCCCTGCTTCCTGCCTCTGTGGCCTTGGGCCACCCGCTGCAGTTGACTGCGTCCCATGTTCCTCATCTGGGAAATGAGGCTATTACCTACCTACCTCGTATGGTTCTTTTGCCATTTGGAGAAAAGTAGGTCAAGTTCTCAGAGTGGTGCTTAGTAAATTCCCTGACAATTTTTTTCTAATGCATTTAATTTGCTAGGGTTGGGGGGACTGATTGCTAAATATAACATTATGGCCTTGCTAATTCTATTTTAAAACTCATTTACTATTTATAATGTGTATATGAGAAGCCTGTTTGCCTATTTAGCTATTAGCAGATAGTAATTATTGTAATGACATTATCTCTGATCATATATAAAGATATCTTTTTGGATATTAAGATTCTTGGTGTATCATTTTACCTTTTTTAAGAATCTCAAGACGCCAATTTCCAAAATTTGATGCAGAGCTGAGTATCTCAGATGAGCCAACATTCCCTGTCTCAATACAAGATAAAACGTTTATTTTTGTGAAACTCCCAGAAGAGGATCCTAGTTCTCAGTTAACGAAAAGTAACGATCACTCTCGTAAGTATAAACTGGGTTATATAAGGTTAGGTATTTCAGTTTTGTAAAATAGCTATTGAATGACTAGTTATAATGTTATTTGACAATAAAGATAAGTATTGCTGGTAAAAAAAAAATTAGGCATTGAAAATAAACTAGTTTATTAATCATCAAAAGCAGATTACCCTAAAATTTTGTAAAGAAGTAAGCTCTTGTCATATACATACTCTGTAAATATCTGAGTGAATAAATGGATGTAGCTGATTAGTTTAAAATGAAGCAAAGCTCCAGTAATCCAAATTTATTCAGGAGAAAGCATGTCTTAATGAAGTTTTCTTTCATAGCAGTTGGAAAAATAAAACATTTGTTAGTTTGAGTATATTGTTGAAATGAAAGTAATGGCTGTCCGTTGTTGTCAAGTTGAGTCCTAATATTTCTATTCTATTTCTTATTTAGTGGACAAGCATCACTTCTAGTCATGGGTGTTAGGATGACACTATGACAGGGTTGAGAAAGAGCATGGGATAGGAAATCTTCACTCTTACGTATGTGTATGATCTATGGCACATCACTTAATTGTTTGTAAAATGCAAATCATAGTGACAGTGCCTGTGGAGGCGCTACATAAATTTTTGTTTTTTTTATGAATAATAGATACTAATTTATCTATTGCAAACGAACCCATTTAAATAGATTAACCATTTTGATCTTTATTTTTATTATAAACTTACTTAGAAAACTTGTTTTAATAGTGTAATGGTTTACTCAAAATTGAATTAGTGAAGATTTAAATGATTATTATTGAGGATTTATTGTAGTTGCCACAGTTCTTAAAGATATTTCCTTCCTGCTTAGCTGCTTTCATTCTGTGTGTGACATTAAGTGACACAGAACTTTACCTTTAAGGCTTTATTCCTTTGTGTGTGTCACCAATCTAAGTTCCCTTGGGTGGGTAGATACTCATTCACACGTTACAACATTCTGTTTTCTTTTTAATACATGGTCTTCTATAAATGCCTTTGTGTGTATGTGTGTGTGTGTGTGTGTGTGTGTTTGACTATAGAATTAATTTCTATTCCTTAAAAAAAGTCAAATGATACAGAAGTGTTTAAAGTAAAAATTAATATTTTTCTGTAATCTTCCTTTTGTCTCTTCCCTGAAGACAACCCCATAAAGGTCACATACGTAGTAAGGGCTTGGTATTTATCCTTTTAAACATTATATTCAAATACAAAAATACATTATTTATTTTAGTTTTACACAAATGGGATTAAGAGCTGCATACTGTTTTGTGATTTTTAAAAATTAAATATATTGTGAATAATGAATAGATAATATTTATTTTCACAACAGCTTATTTAATATAGGGACTAGTACAGATGAAGAAAATGAGACTTAGATGGTTCAGTAACTTGGCCTCTTTGCCACTCCATTTAGATCTACCTAAAATATGGCCAGTGTATTTCTGACATCCATTCTAGACATTAGTGAAAATGTACTTTAAAAAATGGTCTGTTTCAGAATGGTAGCAAAGCTTAACTCATGGTGTTTGTCTAAATTCCAAACTTTAGCTGGCAAATTAGTCTCCTATTTAACAGAATCCAATAAATATTCCTTAGAAAGGCATATAGTACTTTTTCATTAATAATTAATTAAGTTATTGAGTAAATTATTCCCATTATTGCAGAGTGCAAAGGCCTAAGACAGGCTTCCTAGCTGGATTAGAATTTTAGAGATGTTAAGATGTGAGAAAGACATATATCTTAGAATCAATGAAAACAGTGTACATATTGAAACACTGTGCATGCTGATCTGTGAGATGTAGAGAGAGTGAAAAAAGTGATGAACAGAATAGTAGGACCTTGTTACGTGTAGAAGAGAACAATATTCGGGGAGACCTTGGGAAACTCTTGTTCTGGAGGAAGCTGAGTCTTGACCATTTTTCAGTGATGACCCTGCCTTCATCTGAAAAACCAAGTGCCCAGCTAGCAGCTCGTTTAGTCTCCCCCTAGCAGGTCCTCCCTAGGCCTGGGCTTCTTCATTCTCCTGTGATTCACCTGCTGTGAGGGAATGTTCCGACTCAGATTTTTGTATCTCCTCTCTCTCACGGGAAGTGTTTGGTGTTTTGTGATATCTCTAAGAGAGATTAGCGGAAGCCTGCTTCTCAGTGCTCTGAGGAAGGACAGTGGATGTCCTCACTGTCTGATCTGAGCTGTAAAACAGGATCTGGCCATCCTACTCCATCTGGAAAATTTCTTTTGCTGCCAAAAGCCTGAGTTTCACATTCATAACAAGGATGTAATCAGTGGTGATAGGCACACTATTTACCAGCTGGTAGGGTATAGCCACTCTTGGCATGGGTGCTCCTGCTGTGCCAGGGTTAACCTTTTAGTTGCTGAATCATGGGGAGGCCTGGGAGCTCTGGGGGAAGGGGCACTGTGGTGTTTGGGAAGTAACTATCTTCCAGCCATTGTATAAATGTCTCAGTATTTTATACTGGTATGTATTCACTAAATACCAGCCTTGGATATAATAATATGTGCCTCATACGATTGTTGTGAAGATGAAATGAAATAGTTATCAAGTTATAGCTCATTACCACTAGTACCACCAGAGCTTAAAACAGAAAGAAGCCTTGCATTAGTAATTCTGTTCCATATTTTGTGCTCTTGTTCATATGAATTCAGCATTCACAAACCAGCAGTGAATGCACAGTGGGTGTATTACCGATTAGGAGCTGTCCTGGCTTGTGGCCGACCTCTCTGTGGGGGACAGGGTATCTGGAGCCCTTGTCTCCCCTCTCTCGTCTGTTGCTCTGACTGATGTAGGGAATGAGGTTGATGTACCTGTGGTGAACTTGTATTCCATTTGGTGAGATGTTTGCTGCACCTCTTAGCAGCAATACTGAATTCGTTTCTCCAGTGTTGTAATTTGGCTCTTTTCCATGTTAACTTTTTTCTCTTGAATTGTCAGATTTATATTCTGCCGTTAGAACTTTACTCAAAGAAAAGGACCTACAGAGTGCAGAAACATCACAATTTATTGCATTTAGAAGGTAAAGCATTTGCAATATTTTAAGGTCTTTAATCTAGCTTTTAAATCTTATTTCTTATTAGTAAAGATATACTGTGTGAATGAGAGTCTATCTTTTTTTTTAATCCTCACTGAGGATATGTTTTTATTGATCTTATAGAGAGAGAAACATAGATGTGAAAGAGAAGCATTTATCGGTTGCCTCTCACATGCACCCTGACTGGGGATGGAACCCGAAATCTAGGTATGCGCCCTGGCCAGGAATCGAACCCACGACCTTTTGGTGCACGGGGTGACGCTCCAGCCAACTGAGCCACACTGGCCAGGGCAGAATGAGAGTCTCTCCTAGCTCATCACCGTTAATTCTTTCTGAGATATTTCTTTGTTAGACATGTACAGGGCAGTTTCTAAACAGGGCTCTTTCTACCAAGTATTTTGTTTGGAAACTCATAGGAACTCTGACTGTAACAAAGGTTTATGTTAAGATCGAATTTACAAAATACTTTTTCCTGGAGAAATTCCTGGAGACTTTTTATAGAATCCAGGATGTTGTACTGTTGATAACAGAAACAAGCACAAAACAGGTACCACCAAAGTGACCCTTGCATTTTGATGTGTTTCAGGCAAGACTGTGACGTCATCAACACCTGCTGTTGCAAGCACTACACAGGCCAGCTGAACAGGTGAGCACCAAGGGACTAAACTTTGGGGACAGTTGTTTTTTTGTTTGTTTTGACATTTATCACTGTACCCACATGTTTAAAAATCATTTTTTCGCATTTGTGAAGATGATCTCTTCAATTAAATATGTAGCCTTAGAAATCGCCCTTTTGGTAACCAATGTAGTAAAAAAATAAGGAATAAAATTTTCCTTGTGGTTTCCAGGTTAACAAACTCCAGCTTCTCCAAGATGAGTATGGAGAATTCAGGAGAATTTTTCAAATTATAATACGTGTGTGGTGTGCCCAAGAACGTTAGCAGCAGGCTGCCTGCAGAGAGCACCGTAGTGAACATCAATCAGAGAAATAAGAGTGCAGAAAAGCCACTCTTTTTACACACAGGAAAAATTAACTCACATCTATTGCATTTATCAACAACTACTATTTATTAAGTGCAGAGAACCCAGAGATGTGCTAGTTGAGGGAAGACATGCAAAAAAACCAAGTTAGGTAGTCTACCAGAGGGTTTAAAAGGCACAAGATTGGGGTCATGCAGTCTGGATCCCAGGGACTATGATCTTGGGCAGGTAATTTCACCTTCCCATGTATGTGAAAGAGGGTACTCACACAGAATTTCCTCACAGAGCTGTAGTGAGGGTGAAGTGAAATAATATACCTAAAGCACTTACTGCAGTAGCTAGTATATTGCCAGCATTTATTCAGTTTGCTGCTGTTATTTTAATACGTTAGCATTTTTATAATAGAAATATGTGTAAGTGCTCTAAGACCTGAAATAGGCAGTGATAGGAGTGATTGGAGAGGAGAGGGTGAATTTAAAAGGTAGAATCAGTAAGATATTTGGTAACTTTTAGTATATTGAGGGACAGAGAGACATCAGTATTTATGTCAAGATTTCTAAAAAAAAAAATTTGGCTGGGCAGTGGTCTTGACTTTGAGGTAGTATGGAGAGTGTAGGTAGTCAGACCACACCTGTGGGAGCCTGATCTCTTGTGGAACTTTGGAGAACAACAGTGGAGTAAAAGTATGGAAGTTATTTTGAGCATTGGACTGGATCTGAGTGGGAGTTCATGCTTAAACAAAATGAAATTAAGATTTTCCAAACTTAATGATTTATTATCATTTTCTGACCCAGAGACCATCAGAATAGACTTATATTTGGAGTTGGCCATAAAATTTGTTGTACCAAGAATGCATATCTTTCGGATTTACTGCCTGAAACTACCTCCAGTGGTCAGCAGAGTAATGAACTTGAGGCCAGTGGTGAGGACTTGAATGGTGCTTCTCATGGTGTTGCTAAAAATAAGTATGACTTGGAAAGTGGTATTCGACTCTGCAACGGAGAAATCTTTTTCATAACAGAAGTAAGTGATAACAGAAAAGTAGTACCTTTTTATCTACTAGGGGTAGATTTGTGTTTGTTTAATTGCCCTAGGGTTGATTCAAAATCCAGTCATATCAGAGTTGATATGCTTCTTCCAAAATTTTTTGTTAAGGATTTTTGTGTCCATGTTTGAGGGATTTTCGTTTGTAGTTTTCTAGTAATGTCTCATCTGGTTTTGGTGTCAGAGTGATACTGTCTTATTAAAACAAGTTGGAAAGTGTTCCTTTCTCTTGTATTTTCAATCCTCACCCGAGGACATGCTTAGAGAGAGGAAAAGAGGGAGGGAGAGAGAGAGAAACATCAATGTGAGAGAGAAACATCAATTGGTTGCCTCCCATACTCGCCCCAGCCAAGGATCAAACCCACAACCCAGGTATGTGCCCTGACTGGGAATCAAACTGGCAGCCTCTCGGTGCACAGGACGGTGCCTAACCAACGGAGCCACTCTGGCCGGACTGTTATATTTTATAGAAGACTGTGAAAAAACATTTTTAGTAAGTTTGCAGGGCTTGAGTAACAAAAACAAGGGACAAATGACATATGTCACAAAACATCATTCCTTGGTTGCTGCTTAAATATGGAAACTGTAGAAGTCACCTTGAATTTGTTCTCATTGTATAAACATCCTCATAAACTTATAAGCTTATTCTTTAAAACCTGCGAGGAAAAGTAGTTTTTGCAAAGAGTATATGCAGACGTACTTAGTCAGTACAAGAAATAAAATGTATAGACTTCAAAGTAAGAAAGACAACACAGACTGTTTTCCAGAGAGTGAAATTTAGTTGTTTCAAGGACCAAAAACTTCCTTTTAAAAAATATATATATATCTTTATTGATTTCAGAGAGAGGAAGGGAGAGGGGAAGAGAGGGATAGAAAGATCAATGATGGGAGAGAATCATTGATTGGGTGCCTCCTGCACTCCCCCTGCTGGGGATGGAGCCTGCAACCCGGGCATCTGTCCTGATCGGGAATCGAACCAGGATCTCCTGGATCGTAGGTCAATGCTCCACCACTGAGCCATGCCCGGCTGGGCTCCCATTTGTTTTTATTAAAATATTTGTGTGTATATATATTCAGTTTGTGCTCAAGCATAGATTTTAAGCCTTTGGAAATTCTTAACAATTACAATGAGTAAACATGCTGTTTTGCTTATAAGGTCCAACGAGAGAATATCTTTGCGGTGTGCATATTTGAACACATACAAAACGGTTCTTTGTTTTGGTGACAGGATAAAACTGATATAACTTTTAGAAAGAGAAGATATTTGACCATTAATAATATGGCTGGCTTGGAAGTCACTGTGGATTTTAACAAACTAATGAAACATTGTCGCATAAGACATGCATGGGCAAGAACTATTCACACTTTTCAGGTAAGTGGAATTTATGAAGCTATTTAACTATCTTGCCAAGCCATAGAATTCCTTATATTCTTCTTAATTTTTATTGCTTTTTTAAAATTTTTTTTTAAGTTAGGAAACACAATGCACAAAAGTACAGAAAATGCTACACAGACATAAAACTTTTATTCCTTTTTGCTTCGGAGCTCTCTGTATTCAGGAACTGAGACACCCTAGTTAAAGGCTCATCCTCAGGCCTTCCCTTCCCTCCAGGGGTGGAAGTGTCAGGACCAGCAGGACTGAATTTGCCTCTTGCATCAGTCTCCTTTGCTGCTTGGCCTGGCACTATTACTGACCTTGTCTTTATTTAAAATTTTGATATTTTGTTCATCATGGATCTTTTTCGGTGTAAATTTTTATTTTAAAAAATATTATATTAAAATATTATTTATCTCGATTGCTGAGTTTCTTGGCATCCTTTTAAATTTTATGTCCTAAGCAAATGCCTCACTTATCCTACCCATATCCCCTTGTCCGGTGCCTTCCCACCCGTCAGAAGTGACTTCTGCTGGGTTTGTCTGTTCATACAGAAACAAGGTCACCAAACTTTACACAAATGCTATAGTAATGCTTATAGATTTTTGTGACTTGCTTATTTTTATTTAATCAGCTATTATTGGGGTATAATTTGCATACACATTTTAATGATAAAGTTGGATGAGTTTTGACAAATGTGTCCCCTTCTTCGCCCTTGCGAGGCAACCACTTTTTATTTGGGAGTACTTTTAGATTTACAGAAAAGCTGGGGAGATAACACCGAGAGCTCCCATATAGCCTGCACCCAGCTTTCCCTAATGCTAACATCTTAAGTAATTTTGGTATTTGTCAAAAAGAAATTACTGTTGGTACAGAGCTGTTAACTAAACTCTATACTTGTGTGGATTTCACATTTTTTCATTTTGCCTTTTTTCTGTTCCAGGGTCTAATCCTGGACTGCATTCCATTTAGTGCAACTTACTTTTAAGCTCTATTTTAATACTCTTGAATTCTCGTAAGTTATTAGTGGCTCTGTTATTTATCTCATTGTTTTGAGCTCCCTTTTCTGGAATGTTGTTTTCTGTTTTGTTTTTTTGTTTTTGTTAATTCTCACCCAAGGATCTTTTTTCCATTGATTTTTTAGAGAGAGTGGAAGGGAGGGAGAGAGAGAAACATCGATGTGAGAGAGATACATTGATTCGTTGTCTCCTGCACTTGCTCTGACCGGGACCTGGGAACGAACTTGCAACCCAAGTACGTGCTAGGACCGGGAATCGAACCCAAGACCCTTCCTTGCCCAGGCCGACACTCTACCACTAGGCACACTGGCCAGGGCAGAATGTTGTTTTAGTGATGAAGCTGCATTGACCTCCATTTTTATGCAGAAGAATTTAGGTTAGCCTATCTCCTCTACTAGTAGGCAGATGCTAATTAGTCTAGGCTTTTTATTTTTTAAGTGAATGGTGTGTATTTAACTTACCCCATTTCAGTTCCAAAAGAATTTGAAATGGCAATAGAAATGCCCACAATTCAGCATGATTTTTAAAAACAATAAAGAAATGATATCAAGTGAAAAATAAAGGTAAGGATGGTGAAAGGATTTGTGCCAGAAGTGGGTTGGAATGCTTATACACACACCAACCTATTTGCTTGCTAATGCAGACTGCAGATCTGGCCTTAAGTTCCCCAAACAAGAGGGGGATGGTCAGTTAACTGTGTCTGTTGGATAAAAAACACAACCAGTTATGTCGTTGTGCAATATTTCTGACTGTGAAATCCTGGAGAAATTTCTCTCATGGTCTCTATAATTCTGAAAACTCATATCATTCAGTTTTGGGAAATCTTGAATAATTCATTAAGATCTCTTCTGAGTTTTCTCTGTTTTCTCTTTCTAGAACCTCTGTTATGTTGGATCTCTGGAAGTGGTTGTCTCAGTTTCTTACCAGTCTCTTTTATTTCCCCTCTTGTTATCATTTTGCTGTATTTTCTGAGATTTTCTCAAATTTATAATTCAGTCTTCCGGTTGCATTTCTGGGTAAATGCAGAGTGAAGGGGTTTTTATGATTATTGGGTTGAGATTGGAGTGAATATCTCTAAGTGTTCCTTTTACTGAACTTGGCTCTTATTTCATTGTTAAAATAGCACCTCTTACCTCTAAAAACATTCATGATTATCTTATATTAGCATAGTTTGTTCCTTCCAAATTCAATTCAGCTCAACAAATACTGAGCCCTACTCTGTTCTTGGTGCTTAGTATAGGTCAGTCCATGAAACAGATGAAGATACCTGCCAATGTGAAGATTACATTTGGTGGGGAAGTGGGTAGAAACATACACAACTGTAAAAAATTAAATAAACTACATACTATGTTACAAGGTGGTAAATACTATTGAAAAGTGGTGAGGATGGATCTAGATTTCTACCTGCCCATGTAGTCATTTGTCTCCCACAGTTCACTAGGCAGGTAATGTGGGAACACTAGGGGAGATGAAGTTCAAACCATGTCTTAGCTCACGAGGGCGCAGAAAACATAGGGACTAAGAATAGCTACAAAACTTGACACTCTTCTCAGTCACGTGTTGACATTGGGCATTTTTCTTACCTGTGCCATGCTTGGCTTGCTAAACTTAAAAGGCAGTGGTTCACTGTTTTCTTTTGTTTTGTTTATCTTGAAAAAAGTAATAAATGGTTCAACAATGGGAAAATACAGAAAAGTAGAACAAAAAAAAAATCCATTGGCCCTTCATTTTGGAGACAGTCTAGTTATAATTTTGATAGAATTACCTTCCTTTTTTGTGATTTAGTTTGTTTTGTGATTTATGTTTATTTTGTAGGTACTTTTTTGAGTCAGAGTAATTTTATTTTGTGTTACATAGTTGTGATCATTTTATATATAGATGTATCCAGTTTTTTATTTTTTGTATTTTTTATTTTTTAAATATATCTTTATTAATTTCAGAGAGAGGAAAGGAAAGGGGGAGAGAGAGATAGAAACATCAATGATGAGAGAGTCATTGATCGGCTGCCTAGCCCGTGCAACCCGGGCATGTGCCCTGACCGGGAATCGATCCCCGATCGCCTGGATCCCAGGTCGATGCTCAACCGCTGAGCCACGCCTGGCCGGGCTCCAGTTTTTTAAATTTTATTTTTGTCAAAGCATCTTTGATGTTTGCCAAATAGTATGTAAAGTATCTATATGTAAATACTTGATATAAATATATATAAGTAAGTATATATATTTATTCTCCTCCTATTGGATTCTTAAGGTGTCTATTTTTTGTTGTATAAAGTAAGAGTGGGATAATACATTTACACACAAAGTTCATACAATCATTTTAAATTATTTCATTATCTGGCAGTGTGCGCAGACTTTAAAGTTTATTTCTGGGTTTCTGCAAGCCAGTCGTGGATCTGAGACCTGAACTTAGCAGCGTAATTAGAAAACGTGAGCTGCTGGGTAATGAAGAAAGTGGCTCCCCACGTATGAGTAGTGTGGCCAGGTAGGAGGTCTTGGGAGGACTTGTCTGTCCTTCCTGTCCGGTGGCGCAGCGCTAAGCCCCCGACGGTTTCTCCCTGCAGGGCTCTGAGGAGCAGACCGTGGTCTACGTGGTGGGGAAGGCGGGCCGCCAGGACTGGCAGCACGTGTACACCGCGGTGACCAGGGGCCGCGGCCGAGTGTACGTCATCGCAGAGGAACCTCATCTCCGGAGCGCCATTCTGAGGAACAATGTCCGCAGAAAAACTCGTTTAAGACATTTTTTGCAAGACCAGCTCTCCGTGAGCTGTGCGTCCCCAGCAGAGTTTGCATCTCCGTCCAAGGGCTCCGAGGACGGCAGAGGACCCAGCGCACAGCCGGCAGCCTCGCCACCCCCTGCAGCCCCAGCTGACACTGTGACCGACAGTGTCCCCAGAAGCCAGTTCTCTGCGGCTGACTGGATGTTCGCCTCTGCCGAAGGATGGAAATTGCCTCCCTCTGAGAAAGCGGATGCGGGCCAGGAGCCATCCCCATCGCGAGGGTGCAAAAGAGCCGGCGTCCTGATGGATACTGAAAGCCCCAGCAAGGTCCCCATGGTAGGAGCGCTGCTCCGGGTGCTCGGGCTCTGCTTAGACACGCTCTCGCCAGTGTGCTGACGGCTCAGGTGCTGCGTGTGTCTGTTGGTGTTGCCTTGCGCTGTAGGGTGTAAGACAGTGTTCCCTCACCGGTCAGATTTCCTCTCCCGCGGCCAGCTGATCCCGGCTGTTTCTCCCTCCGCCCGAGGCTGGCACTCTGGGGCTTCAGTGACGGGCTGGCCAGGAGAAGGTCCTTTGTCTTCTGCACCTTCTCTCTGCACGTCTTTCTTATGACCTTCCCTCCCTTTATGGGCCCTGGTCTCACTTGTATCCTCGCAGCTCCGTTGAAGCTGCTGGCTCTGGTCATCTTGTCAACTTGAGAGGCCTTTCCTTGGTCTTGGTCTTGACTTTCCCCTGACATTTCTAGTCGTTTTAAATACTGCTGGTTCAGTGTTTCCTTCCCTTGTTGCCTCACCTCACACCTCCTACCTCCCTGTCTCATCGCCCCTTCACTCCTGGCCTTCCCACCCTCTGATGGGGACACCGCCCCAAGGCTCAGTTCTCTTCTTTGAGAACCATTTCCATTCTCTAGGTTTCAGCCATCACCTTTGCGCTGATGATTTGTTCAACAAGTAGCTTTTGGCTGTCAGCTGTCTACCTGCATCCCAAGTATTGGGGATTCAGCGATAAGTGGTGGTCCCCACTCTTGCGCTGATGGCCCAGGGTGGCGACAGGGAGGCTCTAAAAGCAGCTGGGTGCCTCACTGGATGCTCTTAACACTGAGGAGGGCAATGGACCGGCTCCCCAGGCTCATCTTTGGTCCTGGGGGTTGGTTTTCTGGAACCACAGCCCAGCGTTGGACTCTTTTTTTTTTTTCCCCTGATTTCTCCATTTCGAAAAGCATTCTCCCAGCTACACAAGCTTGACTTTCTTCCCTTCCACCCATTTCCTCTGGTTGCTAGGTTTATTGCAAAATGTACCTCTCAGCAATTTCTTTTGTTCCATTTAGCCTGGGCAGTTTTGGACCCTGATCTCATCTCCTCAGGTAATTGCTGAGCTGGCTCCCTGCCCTTACTCTGGTTCCCCTAGTATACCCTACACGTCGTTACCAAATTAACCCCTTAAGTGCTCCGCTCATTCCTGTGTTTAGGAGCCTTCAGTGCCTCTCTCGTGCCTACAGTGTAAGTTCTGGCCATCCAGCTTGGCACTGGAGACCTTTCCTAGTTTGATTCCGGCTTTCTGAGCATCGTTTTATTTCCCACTGCTCTTTCTCTGCTCTAGTCCAGCTGGTCTCTTCATTCACTGACATGAACCAGACTTCCTCTCATTTCTTCCTTTTGGCCTTTGCTGTGCGACTTGGTTTGGACGCCTCATTCTCTCTGCCTCCTCTCATGTAGCGTTTGGAAAAAATTTGTACCCTCTTCTAGCCACTGATCTAAACATGGAGGGAGGAAAACAGGCCTGTCTCTGGCTTTGCTGACGTTACAATCTACTGGTAGGTCATGGGCAGTAAATACAAGAGAATTAAAATTTTCAGATCAAGAAAGATTCTGGGATGAAAATAAAGGTGACGAGGTTGGGGCTGGTATGGGCGGGGGGAGGGCAGGCAGGAGGTGCCGCTTAGCCCTGGGGGTCAGGTGCAGCCTCACCGAGGAGATGACGTGGGAGCTGAACGATGAACAGCCACGTGAGGCTCAGAGACGGGCTCCCTAGGCAGAGGATACGGGCGATGTGAAGCCTAAAACGGGAATCGGGAGGGAAGTCCGGCCAGTGTGGCGAGTGAGTGAGGAAGAGAGGGCCTGTGGGCGGTGATGGTGGAGAGGGCGCAGGGCTGGGGCTTTCTTCTACGTGCAGCGGGACTGCACTGGAGAGCTTCAGGCAGAGGCGTGGTGCCGTCTCATGTGTGCTTAAAAACAGCCCCTCTGCGGCTGTGGAGAGCGCACAGTGGAAGGACAGGTGGAAGCGGGGAGACCAGCCAGGGGGTTGTCCCAGGGAAAGCCTGGCGAAGGAGCAGGGAGGGTGATGGGAAGGGGCCAGATCCTTGATGCATTGTGCAGGCGGAGCTGCCATGACTTGCTGGTCCGATGTGAGGGGTAGAACAAAAAGTAATGCAGGCTGGCTTTCTGGCTGAAGTAACTTGGTGGACGGCAGTGCCTCTTCCTGAGGTGGCAAGGCCTTGGGAGGAACCGGACTCCCCGAGGAAGCCAGCAGTTGGTGGAGGGGCTTGGAACCCCGGGTGGATGGCGTGGGCAGCGTCCGTGTGGGGCCGTGCGCATAAAGTGGTAGAGGACTGAGAGTTCATTTCAGGACAGGCCGCATACAGAGGATACGCCCAACCTTCAGGGGCCCGGCAGAGGAGGAACAACTAGGCCAGGAGACTGAAAGGAGTGAGTGAGAGAGAAGGAAGGCCAGGCTGGGGGGCGCCCGAGAGCCCCAGGAGAGCTGGAGAGAGAACAGGAGGCGAGGGCGCCGAGGCAGTGGAGGCGGAGATCCTGACGACGGTGGCTGTGAAAGGAAGCAGCGCATAGCGTTGTGTCTGGATGGAGGACTTGCGGTCAGAAGGATTTCTTTCTTTATTCTGGATGCGTGGTTAAAGCATCCTAGGGTGTTGCTGGATCGGTCCAACAGAGACCAAGCAATTCATGGTTCAGAGACGGGGTGACTGCGGGAGTGGTCCTGACGTGGGTGAGATGGGGAAAGTCAGGAGCGTAGGTAGAGGTGTTGCCTTTAGATACAGCCGGGGATACGGACTCTTCTCGCATTGCAGCCGGAGGGGTGCGGGCGCAGGACATTGCTGGGCTCGGTGCAGGGACGATGAGGTGCTCAGCCGATGGCCTCCTCCCGTCTGACCTCTTTTCACAGCAGAATCCAGCTCAGTTTGTTTTGTTCATGAAACTCTCCCTTCCCTGCACCAGCACCTCTCGTGTGTGCGGCACTTGTACCCGTTTGGCTCTGTAAGTAGAGCTCCTTGAGGACAGCATGCTGATCACAGGCTGATCGCTCAGAAGTACCTAGTGATTGAGTCATGAGTTGGGAATATGTCGCATTCCACTCCTAAAAGCACCGGACCTTCAGAGCATCGCTGTAGTGCCCTCTTGCCTTGAGAATTCCTTTGAGAGTCACTCTCAGAGGCAATAAAGGGTCCTTGTGAGGTTTATAAGGGAAGCAAACTTCTATCGAGACCTACTTTGGTTTTTAGACATCTAAAGTCATTTGTTTCGTAGTTTTTTGAATTAGACGATCCAATTAGGACAATACCATTTTGTGATTACAAAAAAAAAAAAAAAGTTGGCTTATAGATGACCTCTGGATGTCCCCATAGACGCTTGGATTCTTCTCTGCTGGCAGCAGACTTGTTGGGTGAGGCTGCAGGCTTCCTGGGCTGTGCAGGAAGGATAGGGTGGGGGGGTCCCTGTGCCACCCACAGGAGGGGGCTCACACACCCGCCTCCCCGGGCCGAGCTCAAGGGGGAAACTCGTCTATCTTCTGCCCCACACGGGTATGAGACGGTTAAGTTCTCTGAGCGTGTGCCCGGCGGGGGGATGGGGGGGTATTGGCACAGTAGGCAACTCTAAGTGTAGGACGGTGCGGCTGGAGCACAGAGCGCAAGGGGAGGGGGCTGAGACGCTGGAGGAGTCAGGAAACAGACGAGGCTTTTCTAGGGAGAGGGTCCGTTCCTCTAGCCATGGAGAGCACCGGAAGCATTCTAAGAGCCCTGTGGATTGAGATTTATGAAGGTGACTGACTGGAGTTTAGGAGATGGCCAGGCAGAGGCTAGGGGATGAGTTCCCAGCAAAAAGTGTATTTCAGTAGTTTGTACAAAATGATTACGCTCTAAAGTCAGGCGGTAGCAGTTGGGGCGGGGCAGAGATGCTAAGGGGTATAGTTGATGGCACTTACTGGTCAGATATTTGCATAGGTGGGAACGGACCTGAAGAGGGGCCCTAGGCTTCTGGCTGGGCCATCCAGTTGGATCCAGATACCATTAATCAGGTTTGAGGGGGAAACTGATAAAATTGGACATAGTGGGGAGAAAAAAGTTTCTTTTTTTTCTTTGTGGAAGTAGTAGGACCAGTGCTGACTCTAAGCCGTAACTCACCAAGACCGTGGGATACATACGACTTCAGAGCAGAAAAGCGAGGCAATTCCAGAGTCTTTTTTTAAAAAAGTTTCTGGCTTTGAATTTCTTAGCACGAACGTGGGATGGGGGTTGTAGTTTATGAGACGGTGGATGGGGAAAGTGGCAGCGTTATCCATCTTCGGTTCTGAGCTGCCAAAACCCTTGAGCTCCGGCTGAGGCCAACATCGCAGAAGACCCGTGAACACCGAGCGACGGGGGCCCCGTGCCGGCTGCTGTCGTGGCACAAGGACCGCAGCACAAGCCAAGCTCTCTCACTGAAGGGGACACACTCTTACAAGGTTTGCCAAACGTATGTGGCATTTACAAGAATCCCTGGAAATGACTAGCGTTCAAAGCGTCAGGGCCGATAAATAGGAACATCTGTGTTTTCATGATTCCAGACTTTCGGGTGCATTGAGATGTGTCATTTCTAAAAGGACAGTGACAAGGGCTTCACCCCCCCTTCCTTCATATTCACATCACTACACAAGGGCCGAACCAGCATTTGTGTTCTACAAGTCCTGATGCTGAGCCCTCCCCGATGGCAGCTTTTGCTTTCCCACGGATTAATCGCTTTGGCTATTGAAAAACGTCCTGAAAGAAAATGTTAACCTGACTTTTTTTGTTGCCTTGCCCCCCTCTAGCGAAAAAGAGAGGAAAAACAGAAATCTCCCTTTAAATAAAAACGTGTAAACATTCTAAAATTTAGCACAGAAAACAGTGATTTCCAGAATTTTTCTGGAAGGAAAATGACATTTTTAACATAAAAACTAGGAAAGACATAATCACATAATCCCTGGAGAAAGAGAGTCCTTTTATTGGGGTTCTCCAGAGAAAGAGAACCAATAGGATATGTCTGTATCTACCTGTCTGTCTACCTGCCTACCTACCGACCTGTCTGGGTGTATTTTAAGGAATTGGCTCATGCCATCGTGGAGGCCGGCATGGCCAGCATCTACAGGGCAGACCAGCAGACCCAGAGAAGACAATGTTGGCGGCTCGAGTCAGAAGGCGTTCTGTTGGCAGAAGTCCTTCTTCCTGGGGGAGAGGTCGATCTTTTTTCTGTTAAGACCGTTAGTTGATTGAAGGCCCACCTACATTATGGAGGCTAATCTGCTTTATTCATAGTCTACAGATTTAAATGTTAATCTTATCTAAAAAATGCCTTCACAGAAACGCCTAGAACTATATTTGACAAGATAAATATCTGGGCACCATGGCCTAGCCAAGTTGACACAAAGTTAACCATCACAGTCCCCTAGACTGAACATTGTGAGAGATTGAGTTGTGCCTATTTTTCTCATTTCCCTATGGTGGTAAAACTTGCCCATGGCCATGCTGGTCCGTTGACTTTGGTTTGGGAATCACTCATAGTACCGAGAAGGTGCTCGCGGCCCTGCAGCGTTTCATCTCGCCTCACCTGGGGCCGCGTCGCAGACCTGCGGCCTCGGCAGCCAGCCAGCCAGGGCTTTGTGCTCAGAAGGGTCCCACTGTTGTTATGTTCTGCAGGTACCGTCTTGAAATTCTTAATTTCTGAATGCAGGACCCTCATTTTAATCTTGTACTAGGTTGTCAAATGATATCGTGGGCCCTGCCCACATCTTTAGAAATTAGATACATGTACTCATTCAGCCAATTGTCACGTCTACATGCCAGTCCCAGAGCTGGGTGCTGGGGATACCACAGTGAGCAAAAGCAGACTGATCCTACAAAGACGGAGCTGACCGCGCGCCGATGGCTCTGGTTGCTTGTCTTCCGAGGGGTGGGGGAAATGTAGTATGTCCTCTGCAGAAGCAGCCAGAGGGAAGAGAGCTACAGAGGGTAGACTGGCTACATTTTTACAAAATTAACCTTATTTATTTTTCTTCTAACAGGTGGAAGAATCATCTCCACAAGTGTCTTCCAAACTCCAGAATTTGAAACTAAATCACTTAACCCCCAGGCAACTTTTCAACGGAGCAGATAATCAAGAAACTTAATTTTATTCAGATTGCTCAAAATAATTTGTCTCTTTTTTTCCCCATTCAACAGAAAATGACCACCATAACTTTCGTCAAGGTAAAAGAGGATGCCTATAACTGGAGTTTAATTTTAAGGTGTTTGTGTTAGCAGATGTTTTAAATTCATTTGATCAAAGAAAACCTTAATGATTTCAATATCTTTCATCATGAGAACTGGTAGCATTGGACGTAAATGAAGGGAGACGATGCCATATGTATTTTTAAAGCTCTGTACTTTGAAAAGTGTTTTATTTTTAGGATAATGCATTATTAACTTCCACGATCATGGTGAGTGATCTTTGCCAACGGGATGAAGCAGTGGTAAGGATAAGCTGCAGTTGCATCTTATCGACACCAATCCCAGGACGTTGTGTCTTCTGCAAACTGGTCGCCTCCTCAGGCCGCCATTTGCTCCGTCACTGCTGCCTGGCTCTGCCTCAGCTGGCGCTTCTTGTTTTCTTAATTTGAGATATAACTGATAGGTAACATTGTTGTATAAATGTAAGGTGTACAGTGCCTTGATTTGATACTTCCATTTTGCAATACCATCACCACTGTAGCATTAGCTAGTACTTCTATCATGGCACATAATTATCATTTTTGGGAGGAGCATGTTGTTTTGAAGATATTCTAGTTTGGAAATATTTTTTCTCAGTCATTTTTATTTTTTTAGATTTTTTATTGTTAAATGGTGAAAGAAATAGTTAAGAGGAAAATCTTACGTGTTATCCCAATGTTTTAAAAATAGCCTTATTGAGATATAATTCACATACCGTTCACTCATTTTCACAGTTGAGTGGCTTTTAGTATATTCACAGTGGTGCTACCCACATGAAGTCTATTCTAGAATCTTTTTATGTAATCACCCAAAGAATCTTGTATGTCTGAGCTCTAATACACTCCTCCCCTCCAGCCCTAGGCAACTGCTAACTATTTTGTCTCTATAGTATGTCCTTTGTTACGCCTTCTTTGATTTGCACAATATTTTCAGACTTCATGTTGTAACATGTATCTATCAGTGCTTCATCTCTTTCCCTCTCTCGTTTTTGTTTTTTTTTGGGGGGGTGTGTGGTTAATTGTCACCCAAGGATGTTTTTCCCATTGATTATCTCTTTTGGAGGGAGGGGAAAAGGGGGGGGGGGAGAAAGGGAGAAACGTGGATGAGAGAGACACATTGATTGGTTGTCGTCCCCCCCCAAGTGGGCCGGGGATCGAGCCCGCAACCCAGGTTCGTGTCCTTGACGGGGAATCAAACCCATGACCCTTTGGTGCACAGGCCAATGCTCTAACCACTGAGCCACACCAGCCAGAGCCATCTCTCTCTTTAAAAAAAGATTAAAAATAATTATGTACAAAGAGCTGGCACTGTTTTTTTAATTGGTAGATGTCTTATAATCCATTCAAGGGGGATCACTCGGTCCAGCTGGATGAAGCCTCGGTCCTCTGTGTACTGATGGGAAAGCTGGCAGCATATCCTGAGGCCCTGCTTCTCCCTCAGACTCTGCTGGTTTGAGCTGATGTGGCAAGATTGGGGACCCTGGGTGAGTTTTTGCAGGTGGCTCCTGAGAGCTGCAGGTGAGCCATCTTGCTTTCAGTGATGCCATGAAGCAAAAGGCCTTCATCTCTTTTTATTACCGAATCATGTTCTGTTGCATGGATATAGCACATTGACTTTATCCATTTGTCAGCTGATGGGCATTTGGGTGGTTTCTACTTTTTGGCTATTATAACTAATGGTGCTATGAACATCCATGCGTAAGTTTTTTGTGTGGACATATATTTTCATTTCTTTAAGGTATTTACCTGAGAGTGGAATTGCTGGCTCATATTGTAACTCTGTGTAGAACTTTGAGGAACTGACAGACTGTTTTCTGAAGTAGCTGCACCGTTTTTGTCAGCAGTGGGTGAGGGTTCCCGTTTCTCCACATTCTCCCCAACACTTATCTGACTTTAAAAAAAATAAGAAGTTTTTATTGATTTCAGAGAGAGGAAGGGAGAGGGAGAGAAACACACTGATAGGCTGTCTCCTGCACGCCCCCTGCTGGGGACTGAGCCTAAACCCCAGCATGGGCCCCAGCTGGCATTTGAACCAGTGACCTCCTGGTGCATGAGGCAACGCTCGGCCACCTGAGCCATGCCAGCCGGGCTTTATTTCATCTTCTTGTCTTACTGCCCTGGCTCCAGCTTCTAGTAAACTATCGATTAGAAGTGGTGAGGATGAACGTCCTTGCCTTGTTCCTGTGAATTTACAAGGCCTGCAAAAATGGAAGTGTTGGGACTATAGGTGTGGTTGGTTTTATTTAAAGATAGAAAAATTAAAATTTTTATTTTTTAGTAGTTTATGTAAATTTATGTCACAGAATGCATGTAATGTTCTCTGAGGGCAGACGCTGTCACCTAAAATAAAAGTGCCCTCTTGGGCGCATCCCCTGTCGGCAGGCTGTTCTAGCACCTTCCCCTCTGTTCACACCTGGTCCTCACGACAGTCCCGGCCTCCAGTATTACGGGGGGAAGCTGACTCCCAGCGAGTTTCACGCCCCCGGTGAGGTGGCATTCAGACCCAGGTCTGATGGCAGAACCTCTGCTCTTCCCACTCTTCCATGCTGCCTTTCAAGTTTATGGCAAAACCTCCTCCCTTTAAAAAGATCATGTAGCAGTAAGCACTGCACAGGGCTCAGCCTAGAACATGAAAATACACTCAAAACACCAAAGAAATACATGTCATGTATTTTGGCTTTTTAAAATCACTGTTTATTCCATTTGGTAGAGTTTTTTTTCTCCATACAAATATTTGCAACAATTTTGAATTCCCCAAAACCATACATAGACGATAAATACCATGCTATTAAAGTATTAAATTTGTACAAAAATACTTTACAGTTTAATACTTGTTTGTTACAAATAAAAATACATATTTAAGTGACTCATGATTTTTTTTTTTCTTAACATGATTCTGCTTTATACTTTCTTGCCCTGGCGGTCCTGAAATGTGATCGAAATAATATATTTCTCTGCACAAAATGAAAGGTGAACATTTTCCTTAAACAAAGGACACAGTGTTCAAATGCTTCATCTAAGCAGTTGTTTGAATTATCGACCAAAATGTGAATGTCTGGAAAATAATTGCTTCAATATGGAGATTCTACAATCAATATACAGATCTATTTTTTTTTTTATATTCACCAAATAACAGTTATAACTATTCAAAATATCTGAACAAATGGAAACAGTTGCTGACAAACATTGAATGCAACTGTCACAGTTTATTGCTCTGAGGGATGGTAATAATTGGCAATGCATTTTGTGGAAAATGTATTTACAACCCCAGTGAGTGGCATGGCTCAGAACAAAAGACAGTCCAGTGTCATTTTTAAATCCATGTGCTGTACACCCCTCAATAGAACCGGTTTTTAAAATGTCAAGCAAGATGAGTTTGATTTGCCTATTCTTAAGATAAACCTCATTTTAATAGACTTCATTCTTAAATTCTTAGTCTTGAATTTAAAAAATAAGATAACTAACTCTCAGTGTTCCTAAACACTCTAATTCATTATCAGAGATCTTCAGCTATTAAAAATGTGTCCTTAAAGGAGGAAACAACAGGTAACAAGACATATCCTGTTTGATAATTTGTTGCATAGGGAATAGCATACATCTTAGTTAAAATCATTCCTATACTTGGGCAAAACAGTTACCACCACCTATTATGGTCTCCTACGTGCATCATTGCTGAAACTTTAAGATACTTTTATACCTGCACCCCTCCCCTAGCAGCAGACCCAGCAGTTACCGAACTAGTTCCCCTAGTAGAGCCAGCTTTATGAAAATCCTGTTGGTCAAGTTCTTAGTTAATGACTTCATAGTAAGAAACTGATTTCAAAGTGAGTTAAGGAAATTATCACAGAGAATATTTTTAAACAGACATTTTCCAAAAAGTGATAGGAAGATGAACTTGTAAAAAATGCCCTCCGATGTTAATTGCAGGAGGGGTGGCCTACCTACTTTTCCTTTTCTCTACCATTGGGCTTGGCAGGGAATCGTCTGCCATATACTATAGTGATCGCCAAAAAAGAAACCTCTTCTACTTGAAAAGGGACGTGAACATGAGCCATGAGAGATTTAAAGACCCCTGTGCTTGCAGTTAATGCCACGTGATTCTCTGTGCTTCAAATGTCACAGAAATCGTAAAGGGATTTTTTTTTTTTAGCACCATGTAGATATTGTCTTTTGTCCTGCTTTATAAAAAGTGTTGCTATAATGTATTAGTGGGCTCTCGAATCTCCAAATTACCACCATGGCTGGGCTGTTGGAAAAAAGCACTGTTCTGCTCGCTCCACTCTCCTGGCAGCGTCTGTTCTATAGATTTCTGGGAGGCCAGCGGGTTTCTGCTGATAACCAGGTCCAGCTTGTTCCCAGACTCCGCTATGAGGGGCACAACGAGGCAGCAGTCAAAGTCTCTCGTGCGGACGTGATTGACCTGAAAGGCCAAGAAGAGCCATTCTGAGTTATTGTTACATTCGGCAAACAGTTCCCCAAACCCAGGAACACTTCCGGCGTAGCAAGCCGTCTTGAAGGTCCTCAAACCGGCACCGGTACAGGGGTCTGGCCCTGCTCTGACCAAACTGTAACAAGCTTATTGGCTTCCACAGTCTCTGCTGCTACATTTTAATGCCCCCAAGAGCAGGGAACAAGGGCACATCCTGACACCCCCACGCCAAGCACGCTGCTTCACTCCCCACCAGCGCTCCAAGTGCTGAATGAGTATTACCCCCAACTTACAGCTGAGGAAAGCGAGGCTCAGACTAGTTAAGAGATTTGCCTTAAAGGGGCAGTTGGTCAGTGGGTGAGCTAGGATGCGATCCCAGGCGGGCTGGCTGATTGCAAAGCCCGTGCTCCTGACCACGATGCTGAACTATTCCCCAAGTGTCCAACAGGGGGCGGTGTCTCCGGTTACCCTTTCGCTCAGCTTGGGCTGCTCTCAGCACCACTCTTAAACCTCCCCTTGCTGGGCTCCTAGAACGCTACTCTCTTTTGATCTTAACTGCCCGCTTTCAGTCCTTTCCTGCCTCTATTTCTTCCTGTCCTTTAAATATGTTTTCCTTAGGGTTCTATCCTTGGTTCTCTCCTCTTTATTACAAGACCACCCCACGCAACTTTGTCCAAACCCACGCTTCAGTATCCTAAATCTTTACAAGTTCTGGCTTGGATCTCTCCTGAGCAACAAATCCAAACTGCCTCCCAGACGGCTCTACAGGATGCGCTGAAGGCGACAGGCTCAGGTGGGATGCCGGTCTCCTTTCCTGCGACCTTCCCCTTCCCCACCTACCCCAAGGCACCCACTACACTATTGTATTTATTTTCTAAATCATAAGTTATGTCACTCTGCTCAAGAAATTAATATAACTCCAGAATGAGCTTGATCACGACATTCAAGGCTCTTCACCATCTGAGTCCAGTCTACCTTTATAGCCTCAACTTGCATGAAAGTAGGTACAGCTCCAATTTATGGGCTAGGAAGACACCCTTAGAGGGTAAGTGACTTGTCCATACTTAATCATTCATCAAATATCAAAGTACCTCTGGAAAACAAAAGTGTCCCATACTCCTAGGACAAGACTAAACTGTTCTATTGCCATGGCAGAAATGATCACCAGAATTGGTTTTAAAACGGTCTGATTGATGGGCGACCACCTGCCTCAGTGAGCAGGCCTCAGTGCGGCCTCATGCTGTGAAAGCCAGCTGTTGGGTGACACACTCATTCCAGCTGAACACACTTTTAAGATAGACGTCAATCCTTTTCATACAAAATGTTCTTCCTAAAAACTGTGCATAAGAATTTGCTTTGCTCAATGAAACTACACTTGAGCACAATGGGACTCCATCAAGTAAACAGGTTTCAGCTCTGTGGCTGCAGGTCTTGTGTTAGATATGGAGGCATTAAGCATCGTACAACAGTGAGTGGGGGAACAAGGCACCGGCCCCATTCTCAAGAAGCATGTAATCTGCTGGGGAACACAGGGAAAGAGGCAATTTCTATAACTGGTAAATTCTACCGAAGGAAAAGCTT